TATTGTTATTATTATTGTTATTATTATTGTTATTATTATTGTTATTATTATTATTGTTATTATTATTATTCTTATTATTATTGTTATTATTATTGTTATTATTATTATTATTATATTATTATTATTATTATTTGTAATTTCTTGAATATATTTTAATTCCAAATTAAACTCAAGAAATTATCAATTTTATTAAATTATAAACACATTTTAATTAAGTATAATAAATCTAATTTATTCTACTTAATTAATTCTATCAAATAGAACTCTCTTTCAACTTCCTGAACCAAATATGTTTAATCTAAATAATATTTAATTCATTTCGAGTATTACGAATTAAATATTATTTAATAGAATTAATAATATTTAATTCCTTCCAACAATTCATATGGGAGGTGTAATCACTTGTTGTGTGACCCGTAGGGCCTTATATATTAAGCACTAATCAAATTAAGGTCTTAGCAGAATCCCTAGATGATTTATGAGACAAACTTAATATATAAGGACGTTTATGAGGACTATTCAAACTCTCTATAATATAGAGCTCATAATGATACAGTTCTTTCATTCAACGAACATTCAACTATATCTAGAACTTGATATTGTGTCTATTCCAATAACTTAGTCTCTGTCTCTCAATCTTTCTAGATGATTCATAACGATCATATTCGATATCCAAAACGAATATATCTTTGCATTGGTCAATGACTTTATGATCCATCTAGACATGAGAAGTATAATATTCTCTCTTAATCTATTACGAGGGATGAATCCTTTCTTGGCTCAACTACTACTCCATGTGCTTCGTGATGTACCCAACACATGCCGTATCTACCCCGATTGAAGTACATCACTCCACACATGTAGTACGTATTGTCCTCAAGTCGGAGGAATATTACACTACTCTATACGTCGATAACCCCATAGACATATGAATAGAACTTATCAAATGGTTTCTCGGTGGGTATGCCAATATTCTCTAAAATATCTATGTGACCATCATGAATTACATTAACTCATAGTTGTAAGATCAACTATACTTTCTACAAGTATGATGCAGCCCACATACCAATCTTATCACATATCATCAATATCCCTTCTTGATGATTATTGATCGGGGCTATTTTAGGACCTTATGTTATAGAGAAATTTATCCCTCGTATCACTAAAACTTATTGTCATGACCAATCTATGACTACTTCCTAATTTTTCCTAATGTATGACCGCACATGATCATGATCGATCATGCACATGTCTTTGAACTTATATTTTAATACCAATACCATCCCTCTAGTTTATTAATACTAATAGCATATCACGTATATATGAGTAGTTTGTAACCGTCAGGACTGATAACTGCATGCGCATAACCGCCGGAATCATAGTTGCGTAGTAATAAGATTTTTATTAAGAGTATCCTGAAAGTAAGGAAATAATAATTAATAGAAAGTAAGTAATTGACTTTTATTCCTATCCCAATCACCCGTACCAGCGGAACACGTTAATTCTTCTCCACGGAGCAGAACACGTTATATTGAATATCATTTTCAGTGCGCGCATTATTGCCCTCTGTGTGTTAATACTCGTGTTTTACTGTCCACATTTAACACTAAATATTTACTGCCCATGTTTATCCACATTTAACACTAAATATATTACTGCCCTACTCTTCTCATTTACACTTTACTGCCCTTACATCATCCTCAAATTCATACACATTAGACCCAAACCGTCAACACATTACTTCCTGTACTCCGAGACATTACTACATCTACTCCATATATTAATGCCTAAAGATCTCAATTGACCTAAGTTAACCCCAATCACCAATGCCATATCCACTATCATGTAGTACATACTCTACCCTTAATGCCCACTGCTCTTCACTTGTTTCTTTTCTTCAAACCTGACTCATAGAAGTTGGCCGTCTTCTTTGATGTACTGTTCCACAAGGAAGTTGTTATCTTTTGGTTCTCTAATGCATTAATGCTTTGCAGTCCGTCCCAAAGAACCCGCCATCTTTCCGTTTCAAATTTTTAATTTTCATTTAGGTTTCGACTATTCACATACGACTAATTAAGGGCATTGTTGTCTTTTAATTTTAAATTATAACCGCTCCATAGTCTCACACGTGCATTGTAGTCATATAACCGGAAATTTACTCTTCTAGTCATACTATGGGAAAGTACGTATGTTTTAGTCATACTCTCGTATTTTTCCTTATGTTATATCATATAAGCTCCCACTTGCTTATTGACAACATTGTTGGGTGTGTTTCGGAAAATAAAGAAAATTAATTAAAATAAATTAATTAAATAAAATGACTAAAGAAAAACAGGAAAGGAGATGAAGCAGAATTAGTCAAAGCTCGTGCTACGCACGATTTCCTTAAAACGTATTTGTTGTCTCCCACGGTGCTAGGAGCGTTGCAACAATCGTTTCCCAGGATACGATGACTACGAACTAATGTTTGAGCACACAAACAAGAGTTCCAGCGAACGAGAACCAAGTATGAACACAGAAGGAAGTTTGCTGAGTAGCTTTAGGTGTTTTTAGCTCAAGAAATTCGTGAGGAATGTATTGTGCGTTGTGTTGTTGCAAACCACCTGCCAGCTATTTATAGGAGGATTTGTTGTGTGTTAAATGGGGTGTTAATGGACCTGAACGTTGGACTTCAATGACCAGTCCGTTGGGCATTGAATCATCCATAAACTGTCCATTTAACGTTGCATTAAAAGACAAGAACGTTGGGCATTTAATGGTTGTAACGGCTTGGAGCAGTTCTGGTGCGTAAGAGAGAGCCTTTCCCTTTAGGAATCTTAACTCCTTAAAAGAGGCTTCCCTTTATAAGGGGGTGAAAATCCCTTGAGTTTTTCGGTGTGGGATAAAACACACTAGAAACTCACCATTTTCCCAGTTTTTCCATTTCAACGAGTGAACTTCGAGAATCAATTTCTCATTCACCCGTTATCCGTTTTGAGTGTACCATATATCGAATTGTAGCCCTTAACAAGGACAATCCGAAACCACTTTGACCCGACCCAAATCGGAAGTGGACCCCACTCAAATAATTGCCCCAAAAAGACCATTTAATGCAATTTTAACACATTTTTCCAACAAACATAAGTCCAAGGGAACACAATTATAAATAAGACATTGACTATCGAAATGCTTAATCATCAATGTGCAATATCGTATATATCAAATATATAAAACTGAATGTGATCAAGTACATATATCTCTAAAAAGTGATTGTCGCTAGGACATACTACCCCCGCCCCGCTATGATTGTCCCATTTTACCTTATCGGTCCGTCCCACTAAAATTGTCTCATACCAAATTTGGTAAAGTTTGTGTGCTCTAAATCATTCTTACTTTATTCTTACTTTATCAATTCAATATCAACCACATTAACTAGAAAAGGCATATCACGTAAGTATATCAGTATCATCATTGATATGTATGATGCTTGTACTACAAGTGTCCGCACTAGTGTAGGGAGAACCACAACGTTCCCTATTAATATCGTAGTGCACCAAGGACTTGCTCTAAGTCCTTTCTTATTTGCTATAGTCAGGGATGAACTTATGAAGTCAATTCAAGAAGATATACCGTGGTGCATAATGTTTACCGGCGATATTATATTGATTGATGAGACGTAATCTGGCGTTAAAGCGAAGTTGGAAGTAGGACGACAAACATTGGACACCAAGGGTTTCAGACTGAGCCGAAGCAAGACTGAGTATATGGAGTGCAAGTTTGGTGGAGGTATAAGTAGTACCAACAATGGGATTACTCTTGATGGTAAGAAGATATCGGTGTGTGATATGTTCTGTTATTTGAGCTCCATAATTCAGAAGGATGGTGAATTAGATGTAGATGCATGTCATGGAATCAGAGCTGAGTGGATGAAATGGAAGAGTGCATCAGGATTTCTATGCGATCAAGTTATGCCGACTAGACTGAAAGGTAAATTTTATCGAATCCAATATGCTGTTATACTTATTTGTATTTTATAAAAATTCAAATCAAATTTAGAATTTTTATTTTGTATTTGTATTTGAATCTTTCGAATCAAGCATAAATTATTTGATTTGTGTGTGTATACAACCCTATGTTTTTTTACTTTGTGTGTGTATATTTTTTATGCATACTCAAAATCAATATTACCTATCATATTTATGTTAACATATTGATAAAATTATAATTTACATGTCCCCGATTAGTGCCCGCTTAGGCGTCCGCCTAGGCACTAGGCGCTGAGCTGGCACCCGACAAGTGCCTAGCAAATAATTTTGATGCGGGCCTCCGCCCACTTCCTCCGATCCGCCTACAGATGTGCCGCCGCCTACAGACTGGTCACTGCTATCGGTCACCGAAATCCACCTACGATATCTAGAATGCATCTGCCATGATTCTAACTCCGCCGTCGGTTGCCGCCGCCACCACCACCACCGGATTGCCCAGCCAATGAACTACCCCAATCATGTAAGGGAAGTATGAAGCAATTAATTAATTAGATTAGGGGCATTAAAGGCGAAAGTTAATGTTTAGTCGTATTTAGGCAATATTTAGATTTTACCCCTATTTGTGCAATTACGTTTACGTTTAGTCCTATTTAGGATAGTTTTTCAATTCAAAATACAAATATTTGTTGAAATTAAAATTACGCAATTTAATAAACAAGGAAAACAAATTAAATTATTCTAGCATTAATTCAAATATAAATTGTATATCTCTAAAAAGTTAAAGAACTAACAACATAATTGTAATCTAAAATAAAAATTGTTTAGGGTGAGCACGTGTGATGATTTGAGGACTTAAACCTTCAAGATTTTTTTTTCAAGATTTGAGCACAAGTTAAAATTTAAAAGAAGTAATATCAACTTTCTACTCCGTAACATGTTTGTTTGATTTACAACTGAGCAAATTTAATTTTAGCATGTTCCGTTGTGTTTCGGTTACCTAAAGGGTTTTTTTGCCTTTTATTATCCCAAATGATACAGGACTATCCTAACTTATGGAAAAGAAAAGATTAAATTTGGACTTGCTTAGTCCTCTTCTTACAGAAACCCTTAAACCTCTTCTCTTTTCGCGTAATCCCCTCTCTCCATTCCTTAAACCTCTTCTCGAGTAATCCCCTCCCTCCATTCACGGTCTATCTGTAGCTTCTTGTTCTTCCATTATTTTCATAAATCTTATTTTGGGACATCAATGAAGGGAGGAGAAGGCCAAAACTACCATATTTGTACAGTGAAAGAAATCTTTGATGATTACAAGGGGCGTAGGCATGGCATAATTTCTGCTCTCACAACTGGTAAACCCTTCTTTTAGTTCCTTCGGTTTTTAATTATTTATTTAGTTTGTAACAATTTTGGTTGTTGTTTATGTTTTTGTGTTTCAGACTTGGATGAATTTTATCGAAGGTGCAATCCAGGCAAGGGATTTCTTTACTTTTAATTTTATTTTTATTTCCAGTGCATGCGTTAATTAATCCATTCAGAGTTTTGATTTATTTATTTATTGTGTAATCCTCTTTAAATCCGTAGGTTCTATTTAAGCTACAGGCATCCTCTGTAATGAGTTAATCGTTCTGTCTCACAGACAAGGGAGTATTCAGTCAACAAAAGAAGCCATTTTTACGCAATTTGTTATGAAAATTCTAACAAATCAATGGTTGCTATCTTGTTATAGACTGGAAACATTCCAATTATTGATGGTACATTGAAGCTAGTAAATACCCAGTTTTGTTACAACCCAGGAATTTGTTGTTAGATCTAACTCCTCTTTTGTCTACTATTTTTGCTAAACTCAAAAAACTGGTTTCGTTCCATGATTCCTGAGGGAAGGAGAGAGGATGATTTGTTTTTACTTTACTAAATTATTATATAGTACGTATAGTAGTTAGTTTTAGATTAGAAGTCTAGAAATAGCTATACGATTACTAATCATGTATTTTTTTATACGTTTTAACTTCACAGCCAATTAAATGTAAAAATATTTTAATCCCTTTCCTCACATCCTAAAATCCATGAACCAAACAAGCCCCAAAGCATCTCGTAATGATACATATTTCTTTTCTTGTACAGAGAAAGAGAACTTTTACTTGATTGGATATCCGGATGGGAAATGGCAAGTTAGTTTACCTTTTGAAGAAATACCTTCAGAGATCCCAGAGCCTACTCTGGGTATCAACTTTGCAAGAGACGGGATGCTTGCAAGTGACTGGATCACATTAGTAGCTTCCCACAGTGAAGCGTGGCTGTTTTCGGTTGCTTTCTACTTTGCAGCCAGATTCGGATTTGATAAAGCCCAAAGGTGTGTGTATTTCAAACTTAGTTTCTAAAATATTATTATTTACACGTACAACGCTCCTCATACCTACATTGAGATCAATAATAATTACTGATAAATGATAATTTGTGTGAATGTACCGTCCGCGGTGAATTTTTCTTGTTTTTCGCTTAATTGCTTGGATTGTTTTTTCTCCTTAGTATCTAAACTAGTGAAATTTATACATTTAGTGTTTCAATATGAATTTGGATTTAATCAAAGAATGGATTAGGAAGATGGTACCAATAAAATCCAGTGATGATTGTGTCCCATTGCAAATGACTTAATTAATGTTTTTTGTCTTTAGCTTAGCTGTAGTATTCAAACATCTTGGAATCATTTTAATGTGCAGGAAGACACTCTTCAACATGATAAACGAGCTTCCTACGGTGTATGAGATTGTGACTCTTGCGTTAAAGAAACAATTAAAGGGGAAAAAATCGATCTTAAATCTTATTCGATCCAAACCAAAGCAAAGTTCCAAATATGTAAGCATTAATTTTTTGCATTGTGTTGATAATTTGATTATAGTATATACATCTTTTTTATATCTTGTGTGCAGGGCTAATCCCAAAAAACGGCAAACCAGAACTTGAAACCGAACTGCCCTAAACCATAGGCAGTTTGGTTTGTGGGTTAAGGTAGAGTTTTTGAATACCGACCCCTGAAATCAATTAAAGTAAATTAAAGAAACTGAATACAATCAAGCAATGCCGACTTAATGGGATTAAATTCAGTATTTTAAAAACTGAACCGACATGTACCGAATGACAAACACCCTAGTTGCATGGGGGTGAGGTTTTGCAAGTATAGGTTAGGTAGTTGACTACCTATTATCTTACCTTTGGACTATTCTTGTGAAAAAACAGAAAGCAACCGAAGAACATGAAGGTAGGGCAATGGATCTGAAACTGCTTCACAACGATGATAGAGAGGAGGAAGACGACGAGCACAGCAACACATTGTGTGGTGCTTGCGGCCAGCACGATGGATTGGACGAGTTCTGGATATGCTGTGACAAATGCGAAAGGTGGTTTCATGGACGGTGTGTAAAAATAACCCCGGCTAAAGCTGATCACATGAAGTTGTATAAGTGTTCATCTTGCAGCAACAAGAGACCCCACCCTTCTTAACCTTGTAGAATTAATGATAATGATAGAAAATGCACATCACCCTCCTAATTAGTATGAGGATATCAACTTTAGGGAGAATTTAGTCTACTCATCTAGAACATCTTTTGTCTTTAGAATATAACTTTTTGAGTCTTAGTCCATGTTTATGTTTATATCGTTCGTTATGTGTATCAATCATTTTTTTGTTTTCAGAAATTGATATGTTTTACCCCCAATTGTTCAAAAGTGGTCAATTGTTCTATTCAGAAGTAGAAGTTATTCTTTCTTGTGAAGCATCACATATCCCGTTATTTTCTATGATTTACCACAATATATACAAAGTACATATTGCGTTTAAGTTATTCCTGTAAATTAAGGGCTTATATGGCTTGGGGGGATTCCGAGAGGTAGATTGTGTTCAATTTTACTAAAATATCTATATATGTTCGTTTACGGCAGAAATAATTACTCCTCCGATTCCAAAACAAGTTCCACATTTGACTTCACACATATTAAGAAAATAAATTTGACTTTACTGTGGAGTGCACTGTTTGGCACTGTTTGAACACTGTTTGGCACTATTTGACACTGTTTGACACTGTTTTTATGTAGATAATAAGGAAATGTTTGAAAGTGGAACTTAAATTTGAATCTGCCTAAAATAGTTTCTGTTTAACGTTTTTATTGTGCAATTTAAGAAATTTATTTTTAAAATAAAGAGAAGAACAGAATGAGTGTTTTGAATTATATTTGTGGCCTTTGTGGGAGTAGTTATTTTGAACAAAATGTAGTGTTCTAAAAGTAGGCTGTTTTGAACCGAGACCATGAATAGATACAAAATTACAATATCAAATGAAATTCATTGCTAGAATTAGGGGATTTTTTTGGTCCGGTTTGATCATACATGATCTGACCGAGTTAAGTTTGATATGATCAGGTGTGGTATATTTTACTTGTCTAGTTTGTTTAATGAAGAATGACTAGAGTAATACTAATAGCTTTTGAATTGACAAAAATATGAACTGGATACAGCTGGACAAAAACTGATCGATTTTAAATCAAAACCCCTTTGACTTCTGCTTGCGCATCCAGCACGCTCTCCCTGCGGACTTCTCCCCAGCGGCCTCTCCCTGTGAATATGCAAACATCTCCACCAGCTCTCTTTTCCTTCCTCCTCCATCATACGCGCCACCACACCTTACTCTACGCCGCCGAAATCTGCTTCCTCATTTCTTTGTTGTGCACAAACCACCTTTGCCTAAGTGTGGATCTGTGACGAAATTTTAGATCAAAAAATTGATTGTCTTCTTCATCAATTCATCGACGATGGATGTTGGTGGCGATGAAGATATGTTGGGTGCGGGGTGGTGGCGAGTCAGTGGCGGCGTCGGGTGAGTTTCTGGTGTCTAATGGAGATTACAGCTAGGGTTAGGACTGGATAGTGAGGTTGACATTGGGTGAGCGACTATGATTAGATTTGAGGGTAGTAAGGCGGCAATGTTGGGGGAGGAAGGAGGTGGGGCGTGGGTGGTGTAGTGACAGGGTGTGGGAGTGGGGCAATACGGTGGTGTGGGGGTTAGTGAGTGGTCGGGACAGTAACAGTGGTGTTGAGGCTGATGAGGGGTGGTATTGGGGAGTGGTGGTCACCGGTGGAAAGACGGTGGTTTGGCGGTGGTCACGGGTTGGATGGCGGTGGTCACTGAATTTTTGCTGGAAGGCGGTGGTCACGGTGGCCGAAAGGCTCTGCGCCAGAGTCACTGTGCCGTAGTCAATGTATCGTAGTCACTGTGCCATAATCACTGTTGCCGGAGTCACTAAATCACTACGCCGGAGTCACTGCACCGGAGTCACTGTTGCCGGAGTCAGATTGTCAAATTGTGATGTTGGTCACCTTTTTGGAAAATTATAAAATGGAAAAAGGGGCAAATAAGCCCACGTACTAACAAACAAAGGTCAAATAAACCCTTATATAGGAGGCTATGTCTGGCCGTCGTCATTTGGGGCGGTTCCCGGTGGAAATTTTTGATGCAATTTTTTGAGCATATTATTCATTAAGTCTAGTTTACTCAAACCAAATTTCAGCTAAAACTTCAATCGGGAAGGCATTCAAATGAATTTTTGAAGATAACTGCGCAGTTAAAAGCGCAGTTCTCTTCAAGAATTTATTTGAGGGTCATGCTTGGTGTACACAAGATGTACACAAAATGTGTACATTGCCTGTGTACACAGGCAATTGGGTATCAAATTCTGCCCTTTTCTAAATGAATTGTCTGTGTACACAAGCAACTAGGGGGGTTTTGTGTACAGTTTGTGTACAACTCATGTACACTAAGCATTTTCCTTTATTTAAATACTTTCTCATTTGAATTGTTAGCTAAAATTTGGTACGAGTAAACTAGACTTAATGAATAAGATTCTCAAAAAAATTCATCAAAAAATTCCACCAAGAACTGCCCCAAATGGCGAAAGCCGGACAGAGCCTCCTATATAAGGGCTTATTTGACCTTTTTTGGTTAGTACGTAGGCTTATTTGCCCCCTTTTCCTTATAAAATAGATCACATTTTTATCTTTTGTCTTCACTTTAGTAATATTGAGGCCAAAAGGCCTTGTTTAATTTGATTAGGTCAATTTAAAGATGGTTAAAGCAATTAAGTTTGATCTAATCTAATTTTAAATTGAATAAAGCGAAAACGTCCTAACTCAATTGTTTGTTTGAGATATTTTTAGTACAACACTATAATAAGTAGATAACAAGCCCTAGAAATTTGATTTCATTATGGAGAAAGTACACCGTTAATCTTAGAATAAAGTTTGAAACTTTTTTTACCTTGAACAAAAAGTCCCACACTACGAGCTCGTTTGATAGCACTGAAATTGACTGAATCGACTTCTTCTGCTGAAATTTATGAAGTTCCGTCTGAAGTGGTTGGATTACCTCATTCTCCTAAGTTATGAAAACATTAGTGGTAATTACGCGTATGAGCCTATTTTCGTGTTTCATTTCGTTTATGGCTCAGTGGACTTTTTCTTCATAAATAACTTTCACTTTATCATCTTAACCTTTTTATTTCAAAAATAGCCTCACCACTGAATCAAAACCCTATCCGAATAGGCATGGCAATGGGTCGGGGCGGGACGGGTACTGCAAGACCCAGACCCGCCCCGTGACTTGCACGGGTCTAAACTTGTTGACCCATGACCCGCCCCATGATTTCGCCCCGCCGTAACCTAATTAGCTAGTATGTATTTTTCTTTGTGAGAAGTTGTTACCAATTGAATCTACATAAAGTTTATCTTTAAATAATTATTAAAAATTAATATATTAAATCAAATTCACGATACACTAGAAATTTCAAAAGTTAAGGAAAATCACATAGACTTGAATAGTTAATCTATTTAATTATATTAATACTTGAATATATGTATTAAAATGCTATATATAAAGAAGACATTTATAATATATTTAGGATCTCTATATTCCAACCAAGCAAATTCTGACACAACAAAATTTGGGGGAGGATTCACGGAGAGGGATTGTTCAAGTGCGCAGGTTGGTCAACTGTTTGGGCAGAGTCTTCATAAGAAGCGTAGGTCGGTTGATCGACGACACCATAGACACTGGGGTGACAAAGACTCCTTTAATGGGAGATCTTATCAGCATCGTGATAGTAAGAAGCATTCAAGATTTCATCAATTTCAGGGAAAAATTCTATTTTCAGTGCATCAATATTGAAAGTAAACTCAAGATAATGTGGGAATGGAGCCCAAATGTTAGGAATTCTTATCTGGTTAAGCACTTCGGCAGCTCTAGGGTCCTGGTGCATAAATGGGAAGCTCTCAATAACTGGAAATATGTGTAATCCTTGGATGAATTTTATTTAGGAAAGGTACATACCTCATTGCCGTAGTATCTCCTAAAGTTTCCTATATTGTTTGGTTGTACTATATTCTGTTTGGAAAGCAAGAAATTTGGGTATTTTTGAAGGAAAGCCAATGTCAATGCCGCTCCTAACCAATCATATAAAGTTTTTGTGTTATAAAAATTTTGTATCAATCTATCCATGTAAGATATTTGATTTTTTATGTGTTTCATTTGGAGTCTTGGTGTTTAAGTTGATGTATTTTCTGCTGGTGTAGATGACGTCCTTAGTGATGCTTATGGTGTCTCCTGGTTTTGTGAGAATACAAATGTACTGTGGGAGTGGGAGTTTGACTGGGGTATGCCCTGTTGATATTTGTACATGGTTGTTTATATATAAAGTTTTATGTTTTACTCCTATTAAAAAAATATACAATTTTGCTATAGGTACCCCATACTTACCCCATTTCCTACCCCATATAAATACCTCCTTTTTACCATCCCTTTTACCCTCTTTCCAAAAACCCTTCCCCCCTCCCCACTTTTCTTCTCCTTCCCTCTCTCTCTCCTCCATCTTTTCTTTTCACGCAGCCCCCCTCATGGCCTCATCCCCTCCCTTTTTTTTTCTTTTCTCCAAAACTTGATTTCTTCTCCATTTCAAGATCTCTTCCCATTAAGTCTTCTCATTTTTACAATCTTTTCTCCCTCCAAGCTTCTTCTCTTGCTTCTCTCCTCTTCTGCCTTTTTTTTCGTTTCAAATGGAAGAACTACAATAATCGGACGAAGGGGAGAAGCTCGGTGACGTGGGGAGTTGTGTCTAAGGTAACCATCCCTTCTCAAATCATGAGTTACGTACTCCATTTACGATTTTTCTTCATGTGCTTTTTTATTTTTATTTTTTCCTTTTTTCGATTTTATGTATATTATGTATGATATAAAAGTGAATAAATGATTATTTTGTTTCATTGTAATGATTTTGAGGTGTTACCTAATTAAAATTTTAGTGTAATTTCTCTATTTCATTTTATGCCCATAACATGTTTGTAGAAATTACTCAATGAAATTTTTGTTGAAATTCAAGACTTTTTTTCCATTTTTTGTACCTCAATGTTTAATGAGTATTTTTATGGATTTCCAATTTAATATGATATAGTAATTTAATTGATGTTTTGGAAAAGAGTATGTTGTTTTTTTGTAATTTGTTTGTATTTTGTTTGGCGGACAGACAATTTAGAACTGCAGTGTCTGTCTAGCCTAAAGTGAACACAATTTTGTCTTAAAGTCTGGGCCAATTAACTACTCTCTGTCTTATAGCCAGACAAATTTTGTCTGGTCCAGACATTAGTAATATGGGCCAATTAACTACGCTCTGTCTTACAGCCAGACAAATTTTGTCTGGGCCAATTGACTACTCTCTGTCTTACAGCCAGACAAATTTTGTCTGGGCCAGACATTAGTAGTCTGGGCCATTTAACTACTCTCTGTCTTACAGCCAGACAAATTTTGTCTGGGCCAGACATTAGTAGAGTGGGCCAATTAACTACTCTCTATCTCACAGCCAGACAAAAGTTGGCTGTGCCAGACAACAGTTGTCTCTTCCAGACAAATTGATTATGCCTCACATATGCTATTTGTACCAAATATGTGTTCTGACTACGTGTTGTGTATTAATCGTAGGTATTCACTTCAAGATGATGAATGACTTCAAATGTTAGGCTGAAAAAGAGTTCCAAGCGGACGCTAATTCATTTACAAAAATTATACCAAGTGTGACTTCTTTTGCAATGGAGAAATAAATGCAAGGATGGTGAAGTATATAGTGTTGGGGGAATGTTTCCGTTTTGAACTTGTGATTTTTTGAAAATGTATTTTTTTCATATTACAGTTGGGAAAATGTGTTGAATATTGTACAATGTTACTTGTTCAATTTTGAACAATTGGATTCAGTTTTTTGAACATGCGTAAGTTTTAGAATAGTGTTTCGATCCCCACAAGTTTTATTTTTTGTAAAATATTGAATTGGTTTTAATTCTTTCCATTTGTTCAAAAAAGAAAGTTGTTTTAGAATAGTGTTTCGAGATTACATTTTGTATCAATGGATGATTGATGTTTCAAATCGTAATTATCGTGATAAATAAATTTTATGCTTACATCAATTTTGTTTCTTTTTTCAATATGTAGAACAAATTATGGGTCTCAGAAAGATTGTATTTGTATTGTGCTTGGTACATTTTTTTAATCTAAATTGTAAAGTTGTATAAACTATAGAAGTAATGACGGTTAAATATCTATTTTTAGACAACAATGAAGAATTATGTCGTCGATATTATATGACTACGATTGAGTTTTTTGGCGTTAATACACAACATATATTTAGAACACATATCTAGTACAAATAACATATGTGAGACATAGTCAATTTTTCTAGAAGAGACAACTATTGTCTGGCACATCTAACTTTTATCTGGTTGAGACAAAGATTAGTTAATTGGTCCAGACTACAAATGTCTAGCCCAGACAAAATTTATCTGGTTGTAAGATAAGGAGTAGTTAATTGGCCCAGACTACTAATGTCTGGCCCAGACAAAATTTGTCTGACTGTAAGACAGAGAGTAGTTAATTGGCCCAAACTACTAATGTCTGGCCGAGACAAAATTTGTCTGGTTGTAGGACAGAGAGTAGTTAATTGACCCGGACTACTAATGTCTGGCCCAGGCAAAATCTGTCTGGCGGTAAGACATAGAGCAGTTAATTGGCCTAGACTTTAAGACAAAACCGCATTCACTTTAGGCTAGACAGACACTGCAGTTCTAAATTGTCTGTCCGCCAAACAAAATACAAACAATTGACAAAAAACAACGTACTCTTCTCCAAGACTTCATATTAAATTGGAAATCTATAAAAATACTCGTTGAACACTCAGGTACAAAAAAAAGGAAAAAAAGTCTTGAAATTCAACAAAAAATTCATTGAGTAATTTCTACAAACATGTTATGGGCATAAAATGAACTAGAGATATCACACTAAAACTTTAATTAATTAACACTTCAAAATCATTACAATGAAACAAACTAATCAATTATTCACTTCCATATCATACATAAATGGAGAGATGCTTTTTTGAAAGCCTTTGTGATTTGTTATTCGAAGGCAGACTTGGACTCCTTTCCTTGGGCCAGGCACCAAAGCAAGCAAGCATGGCATGGGAGATACGAAGTATTGCAAAAGAAGGAACAAGGGACGCCTCATTCCATTAAGCAAGAACCCAAGATCCAACGGTGAATTGCTTCCCAAAAGAAAAACCGCCTAGAAGTCCGATGACCTTTAGCACTGTACTCTACCCCCGAACCAGCAGCTTTCACGCCAAGCAAGACCGCCCTTGTCCCTTTCCTTTCTCCATTCCGCCTCCTTCATGAGAGCTTGAAAAACTGGGGAAGGGGGTGAGAGAATAGAAAGGGATGGATGGATAGGAGAAAGAAATGAGGGGTGTGGGATGAGAGATGTTTGGAAGGGGTAAAAAATATTAAAAAAAATAGGAAGACTTTTATATGGGGTATAAATTGGAGTAAAGTTAGGGTACCTCTAGCATTTTTGAAAAACATAATGTCAATTGCTATGTTACTTTTGATAAATAAAAAATTCTTATGGATTATGCGTTAAGATGCATACAAGGAAGAAAATTATGATCAAGGAAAGCAAAATAACAGATGTAATAAATTAAAATAAATGATTGAATTATAAATTAGTTGTGATACATTTTTATGTTGTTTTTTGTTTCATGTTGTTGTTTGTTGTTTCATTGTGTTGTATCAAATTTATTTCTTTTTGTTGCATTGTGTTTATTTTTGTGGTATCATGTTACTTTTTGTTGCAATGTGTTGCTTATTGTTGTTTATTGTCGATTTTGTTTTTTCTTAATATTTATGTTTTTATTTATCTTGGCTACTTCCTGGAAATAAAAAAACCTTATATAGATTTGTGTGCAAACACTTAAAATTATAAATTTAGATTTATGAATATAAAAACAACTAGAAACATAAATAAAGCATAATATATAAAATATGAAAATTCATCAACAAAAAGAAACAAAAGGGTACACAAAGAAATCATATAAAAACATTGCAAAATCCAGCAACATTAAAACACAAATAATAATAGTAATAATAGTATTAAAAAATATTTTTAAATTAAGGAGAAAAAATACAATTTAAAATAATTTACCTTTTTAAAAAATAAAATATTGTAAGTAGTTTAACTAAATTTATTTTCAAAAAAATTATGTTGTATGTTGCAAAAAAATATGTTGTATTCTATGAAATTTTTATATAATTAAATCTTTAATTTGTTTTGAAAATTATAGTCACGTGTTTTACTGTTGATAAAAAAATTAATTTTGGATATTTAAATTGAATTTTAATTTTTCCTATCATGTCTCATTTTATTTTCAATTTTGAACTATTTTTCTATCGTTACTTTAATGTTTTACATGTTTTTACTTTTAGTTTTTTTTACATTATTCTAACATTTTTCAGACTTTTTAACGTCATATGACCGGGCTAAACTTGCAAGTGTACAAGTGCCGATATAGTAATAAATTCCGGTAAAATACCGGGTCGAATCCACAAGGAAACGTTGTTTAATTCAAGTCCGAGAGTAGATAACTTTAAATGAAGAATAAAGTGCAGGGATTTTGATTTGTGTTTTATATTTTTGGTTTTTTCACTTTTTGTTCAACAAGATAATCGTTAACTAACTTTGAGTTCAAGATAAATAATAACAACAACTAAGGCTTCGGGAATCACTTAAATGCTTAAATAGGGTTGAATATTAGTTTTTTGCCAATAATCATGAATACGATGTCGCTAATATATTCTCAACTCCGGTTAAGGCAGCGAGAGTGTGGTTTTCGTTACGTGTAAGTCCCGTTACGACTTACATTCATCTACCGAAAACCCCGTTGAATATCAAGACATCACACCCGTATCATATAAGACCGGATATATTTCTATTCTCGGTACTATATATGTTTATCCTTTAATGTTCATAGTTTAGACTTCAACGTTAATTGCATGTATAAACTAAATTTAACATACTTCTATGTTGTACACCATAGTCATAAACAATCAATATATAAAGGATAAATCACAATTTATTGGTTTAGAACTTTTATCAAACACCTAGTGGGCATAGAAGTTCATCCCTAGCCTTAGCTAAGAATTTAGCCTCTAATGCTCATATTAATCACAATACAATAATAAATGTAATGGAACATGAAATTACAAAGGAAATAATACCTAAACACCAATGATTTCGGAGGACGAACTTCCCTCCTCAAGAACTTGAAGAGAATACCAAGAACAAAAATATAAAAGCTAAGAATTAATCTATGGAATGTGATGTGTTTGTATGATGAATTGAGGGCTTTATATAGGCTAAAGAATGACATCTTTTAGTCTATTCGAATCCAACAATGAGGTATGGAAACGATATTTGATTAGCATTGAAGAAGATGGGGTTTTCCCATCAAGAATCAGCTTGCACGATGCTGTTTTTTAGCAGAAAATCGACCCAACCGGCGCCGGTTGGTCAGATGATCGGCCCCGGTTGAAAACAGGCTCATTTGTGCGAGAAAAAACGTTCCGACCGGCGCCGTTTCAAGACCGACCGGCGCCGGTTGCTGCGCCCAAAAATGTACTTCATTTCTCTTCCTCCGAAATGGATAAAAAAGTGTCGGTTTTTGTACCGGGATTTTGGAGATGTTCCGCTACGAATTTGGACATGATTCCTTCATCAAAGTTGTAGATAATGAAGTCTTCTATCCAACAAAACTTGAATGACTTAGATTTATAAAATTTGTATATACAAATCTCAAACTTTTACTAAGCTTCTCAGTATGGTTATGATCAATTTTCTAAAAGGCGTTAGTCGCTAGTTGAGCGTCAACCCAGTACCTAGACGGCTACTCGAGCGCCTGAGTTGTGATTAGTGGGAGACAAAAAATATATTTTTATTAATATTTTAGTTTAAGTATGATAAGTAATATTGTATGTGTATGTGTGTCTATGTGTATATATATACATACATATACACGTTAACATGCGTGAACAATATTAACACTTAATAATACTCCATTGTAATATATTACGGAGTACAACTAATCACTTTGGTTCATTGTATAATAATTGTAGAATGTACACAAACATATATAGACTTTATCTTAACTAGACAATGAACCCGTGCGTTGCACGGGAAAAATCAACTCACATTATTCAAATTAAAAAGAGATTGAATGAATATCGTATACTACCTTCGGCCCAGGTAACATCTCAGTTGCGTTTACGATATTTGACAGGTCATAAACTTAAGTGATCCTTGTTAATAATGAAATTATTTTTAGCAAATAAAATTTATATATTCAAAAATTACATTAAAAGTCTTGTAAAGTCGCAAAAATTTAAATTTGATAAAAAAAATGGATACATAAAGAAAAAGGTTAAGAAAAATTTACATTAGTTTTTATCTTATGAGAGAATGAGCTTTGATGAGTGTTTTTCAGGGGGTCAGCAAACCGGTTCGGTTTGAGTAAACCAAATTGTACCAAATTGAACCGAAATCAAATCATACGCAATTTCATTTGAATTTAGTGGTATGTCGTTCAAATCAAATTAAATCAAACTAAAACTAATTGAGACCCTAAGAAATTGAATAAGGTCGAGCTGAACTCAAATAGTCAATAAATTTTTAATATGTTTTTAAACATAACAAATTCAAATTGTAACGAAGTGATTTAATCCGAACTAAACCAAAACATAGTATGATTCCGATCTATTTCAAACCGAATCGGATTGATATTAAAACCAAATTGAAACCAATGTGCTCACCCTAGTATTT